TTTTTAACATTTTCTAATGGTGGTGTGCCTCGTGATTTTTTTCATGAAAAAAGTGTGCCTTTGCACAAAAAAGGTTGAAAAACACTGGTGTAGAGACAATATGTGATTATTACTAGACCTAAGTGATGCGTGTTTATGTTGTGAAACCAAACTTTCTTCTGGGTTTTAAAGACAAATCATTCAAATATGTGATGGTTGCTTTTTCGGTTAAAAACACTGAACAATCACTGTTTGAGCATTCCAGTAATAGTTTTATGGTTGTTATTATTATGCAATAACTCTGAAACCAACAACCAACAAAGGAGTCCATTTTAATGAGAGTTTGTTCAGTGAATTTGGAGCCCATCCCCCCCCCAAAAAAAGAGAGAGGCGTGTGGGAAGAAAAAAATAATTAGTACAAACGTGAGTGCAAATTTTTTCTGGATTTTTGTTTTCCTTTGTTTTTCGACTTCTGTTTTTTTTTTCCTTTTACTTTAAAGCATTTTGTTCGAAGTATACACAACTCAGGTGCACAATACAAAGTTTGTACGGTTCTCCTTGGTGACGATAAAAAGTGGTTTTATTGTTATCATTATCATTATTATAAATGGGGGAGGCAGGGATAAAAATCAAAACGGAAAAAAAGAGGTCACAGTTTTGTCATTGGTATGTGAAGGTTGTTCCAAGGGCCCATCCAGAGTTCCTCGTCTTCCGACTGTGCGTGATCGCTCGGCAAGTCCAAAGTCTCTTTGACGCCTTCGTTATCGACGATGGACTCTTGCTGGTCTGTGCTTTTCAATCTGCTCCCCGCCGCTTTGATTGCTATGCTGTCAGGGTCTAAAGCCGAGGAGGCAGCAAAGGAAACACTACAGGGCCTGGGGTTCAGTTTATCGTTAGATTTTGCCCCGGCGGTAAATGTGTTCAGTGGGATGTTTTCCTCGTGTGTTACTCCCAACTTATCGAGCTTCTTGAATTGTTTTCCCAGTCTGGCGGGAGAGGCGACTTTCAAATTGTTCGAAAGGCAACTTCGACGTGTCCTGATCACTGACCCATTTTGGGCTATGTAGATATTGCTGTTGCCGTTGGTGGGAATATTGGGGTTGCTGAGACGATTCCTCTGGCTTTCGGGAGCACTGTCCTCTCCAGTGGAGCTGCTCTCATATTCAGGATCCAGAACCAACTTGATCCTTTTCTTTTTGGCCCACTGGAGGACAACAAAAAGAGAGGAAAATATTTAAGTATCTCCTAGTTTATTTTTAATGCAGAACGTGGCTGCTTTTCTGCCTCTATTTCTTTTTTTAAAAAAACTAAGAAATAAGATTTATAAGCTTCTCTCTGATTAATGCATCTGTTTACACTAGTTTCTCATGCCACGTCCTTTGAAATGGAAGGTAACCTCATTTAAAACAATAACTTCAGAGATGGAATTCAGCATGTTCTTCTGACCAGTTCTGAAGAAATGGTAGTGGATATTTTGAGTAGTTCGGAGAACCGGTAAATACAACCTCTGACTGGCCCTCCCCCTCTCTATTCTCTGTCCCAGCTGATCGGGAGGAAATGGGGATTTTGCAGTAACCTTTCCCCTGGAGTGGGGAGGGAATGGCGATTTTACAGTATCCTTCCCCTGCCACGCCCACCAAGTCACGCCCTCAGAACCGGTAGTAAAAATGTTTGAATCCCACCACTGAATAACTTGTAACAATATTGAGAAAGTACGTATGAAACAATCATCCCTTTTTCCATCTCCTCCTCTCTGGTTTGTCGCATGCAGGAAATTTATTTTTCAGTTATGTGGAACAGTGAAAATCTGTTGTGCAATTTGGAGGGTGGAGAGTAAAAGATATTCACCCAATCCTGACATTTAAGTAACATACTGAAAATGATCTTAAATTAATACACTTAAGGTTAGTCTTAGAATCTATATTGGCTAAAATATTCTAACTTGGGAAGAAATATTGTTGGTACCACCTATGGATAGAAAAGTGATATTAAACTATATATATATATATGCAAAGCAGTGCTTAAAGGTTTGCAAAACTGTTTGAATTTTCAATAATTCTGCAATATTTCAGAATATTTTTTGCTCAATTGTTTAAGTGAGTTTACTTTTAGGACTTGTGTGGAGAACAAATCATGTTTGAGGCCATATTTATGGATATTTGAACATTCAAAAGGTTCTGTATTTCTGTCTGTGCCTACATTTCTGTTTCAATCATACGAATCATGCCTGGGGAACAGATGAGCTATATTTGTAAGTATCTCCAGATATCTCCTGCACAAGATGAAACAGCTGAGGTAATTCTGCACATTATTACCCTATGGAGGAATCTCTCCAATAGCATTAATTCAGTTCCTGAAATTTGTTCAGGTGAACCAGTAGCTAAAAAACATGAAGATCTATAGTGATATTGGGATAGGTATAACCATACTTTGATGCACATCCCTCCGTCAACAGATAATGAATTATTCAAAGTTCATACATACATGAAAGCCTTATCATGAAATAATTCAACTATCAATATAAAATTTAAAAAAACCTGACAAATGTATAAGACTTAGCAACATAGGTGGTATCCATTCTAATAATAAGGTTCGTATATTAAAAATAATCGCTTTCTTCCATTCAAAAGTCATTCAAAATACATTTAACAAGGGCTTCTGAAGAGTGCTTGATATTTCTTCTTATCGTGGCTCATTGTATCAAATGAAAGAATTTTTATTCTTCAAGGAAGTAAAAGGTATGGACATGATTAGAAAAAAAAACAACAAGGATCTAATATGAACATGTATCTCATCATTTAAATTATTTTACCTAACTATGAAATTCATAAACAAGCAGCTAAAAAGTGCAACGGGAACCTATAGTATCCTTATAATTGGCACCAGCCAAGGGAACAAAAGGACCAATCTACTTCAAGATGAATTTCCACGCAAAAGAACAAAACTATCAGCTTAAGGAATAAAGAGATAGATTATCTGCAAACAATGTTAAAGTGAGAAAAAATATAAACATAATTGCTTTTTAAAGATATGCAGGCCCTTTTAAGAAAATACAAACCATGCATTATAGTAATGTACGTATGTTTCAGTGCATAACTAATTCACATGGGTTTTCTTGACGATTGCAGTGTCAAGGGAAAACTTGCTCATGTGAATTAACCATCACTAGTAAGAAGGGTCAGGGCAGTTCACACCACTTCAAGCATCTCTACTGCTGAACAAACCAGTGCACCAGAAAGTGTTACATGGTGATTTATACTGCATGGAACTGCTTTTAATATCCTTATTCTAGAATGCTTTGAAATAGCACTGAGAGATTTAATAATTATTTAGGCTTCTGGACCTTTTCCGATTAGAACATGTAGTACTTCTGCAAAGTATGATTATCTTCCATATTTTGTCCATCTAGTTTGTTCTATGAGATTTTCATAATAACGCTTTCTCATGGGCAAAGAGGAATACAGAGTGCACGGCAAACAAATTAAAAAGAAAAAACACCACTGCAAACTTTCTAACTATAGTCTCACTTTTGTTTTAAAAGGATGTGGAATCACTAGGCATGTCTGATTCAGTAGTGTCAGGGACATCTTCGGTGTCATGGTCTGACTCGCCTAAATACTCTTCAGGATATTTTTTCTTTATATTTTCACTTTTCATGCCTTCTTTAGAAACTCTTGCTGATGTTGGTTTCTTCATAATTTTCTCCTTTTCAGTAGTATCTCCATTGGTGTCTTCTTCACTGCTCCCTGTTTGCTGGCTGGAGGTAATGTTTTCACTGTTGGACGTGGCTTCATGGTCACCTGATTCCTCCTGCTCTTCCTGCTCTTCCTCTTCTTCTCCCTCTTCCCTTTCTTCCTCCTCCTCTTCCTCATTTTCTCCTTCTTCCTCTTTCTTTCCCTCTCCTCCTTCTCCCTCTCCGCCTTCTCCTTCTCCCTCTTCCTCTTCTCCTTCTTCCTCTTCTTCTCCTTTTTCTTGCTCCTCTTCTACAATGGAAGGTGATTCTTCTGTCTCTTCAGATATTTCAGCTATCTCATCATCTAAGTCACTTCCAGCTGTAGAATGCTTTTTGAAAGTGGACCCAGAGGTCTTGTCCTTCCTCGACCTTGGAGTAACTTGACTGCTGATGGAACTCTGCATCAACGATGAGATGTTTGATTCTGTATCACCTTCTTCTACAATGTCAGAAACTTTGCTCTGGGAATTGATTGTCCCATCTTCTGAGTCGCTGCTTGAGGTGGAGCCAGCTGAATCGGAATGTTCTTCATCGGAGTCCACCGTGCTTTCGGTAGCTTCATCTTGGTCTAAGGTAACTTTCAAATAATCTTTATCAGATTGAAATGCTGAAGAACTGCTTTCTGATGATGTTGACGATGAGGATGAGGATGTTGACTTAGTAGATGAGGTTGTCATAGAAGATGATGTTGTCTTAGAAGAAGATGTTGTCTTAGAAGATGATGTTGTCTTAGAAGATGATGTTGTCTTAGAAGACGATGTTGTCTTAGTAGAGGATGTTAATTCTTTCTTTTTTCCATAATCACTAACTTCAGATTCACTTTCTGCTGTGACACTAATTGAGATTCCCGATTTGGATTCGGATTCACTTACTTCCTCAGAGGTGCCATGCTCCAGACCTTTCTTCAAAACACTAGCACGTTTAAATTTACGGCCAAGCTTCTTTGAAGATGGTCCTTCACCTGCTGATTTCTGGAAAGGGCTTCCCTTAATAACCTTACTGTCTTCTCCATCTGCTTGCTGTGCTGCCATCAGCTTGACATAATCTGAATCTTTACCTCCTCCTTTTTGTAACATCATTGGGAAGATCTTGGCTTTTTTCCATGGGGATGGTGCTGCTTCAGTTGTGGCTGGCCTGTGAGCACTGACCGCTATTCGGCCCAGCTGCATCACTGCTTTTAGCTTCCTTTTTCTCTGGATTGGACTTACGGTCTTGTGTTTACCTATACCACTAAGAGCTAATCGAGAACGTGGTTTCTGGATTATAGCTCTTCCAACTTGACGTGTTCCCTGTTAATTACATAAATGAAATTTATATATCACTTTAGCACAGTTTTGTAAAAAAATTTGGAATGAAACTTGGTACCATAGAATGCACAGATGTGAAAAAAACGTGGCACGACAAAACCGCGCTTGAGTAAAGCGCGCCCGATTAAACCGCGTCGCTGATGTCATCAACAGGGCGACAACAGCGAGCGTGGAGAAAGAAGGGCGCTTTAAGTAGCGCTTTAAAAGCAAGCCGATTCAAGTTAAGGTAAGGGTTAGGGTTAGGTTTAGGGTTAGGTTTAGGGTTAGGTTAAGAGTTAGGGTTAGGTTTAGGGTTAGGATAAGGGTTAGGGTTAGGGTTAGGTTTAGGGTTAGGTTTAGGGTTAGGTTAAGAGTTAGGGTTAGGTTTAG